TCTGAGACTCGTGATCTGATTGGCTATTGAAACCTGACTGTGCCCGTTCACTTACAGCGCACAGGGGCCTGCTCTGTTTAATCTGAAGGCCCCGAGCAAATTTAATTTACCTGGTAATACAGCTAGCTGAAATATGATTGGTTAAAAACTCTACCATCATAAATAAGTTATTTATCACACACAGTCTTTGTACCCAGGCTTTCAATGTTATTTAAAATAACATTGAAAGCCACTCAACTAAGTGGAAATAATACAACGTAAAGAATACAGAGAATAATTTTGTTTACATATTTATGAAAATAAAATAACATAAATTATAAAATAACATAAAATACATAAAAGTAAATTTACTTTTCTGAGAATGTTTAGGCCAGCAGAGAAGGCCTTGCTGGCCCTCAGGGTCCGCCACTGTGTGTACTGCTGTTGTTTTTGTATCGAATATGTCAAGTCTCAACACTGTTTACTTATTTTAACATGCTGGTACCCACATAAGATAAGATAAGATAACCTTTATTTGTCCCACAGTGGGGAAATTTGCAGTCTACAACAGCAAAATTGGGGCGGAACAAAGTGTTTCTTTGCACAAAATAAATGTTTCAGAAAAGAACTGAATACAGTTAAATATAAGTGCAATATAAAATAAAGCATGAGCAATATATATGTAGAATATATATAATAAATTAGCAATAGCATAGAAAACACAGCGTAAGGTGGCTGTGCTATTTACAATGGTTACAGGTTTATTCAGCAGCCTGACAGCAGTCGGTAGGAACACACACACTTACATGAAAAATCCTAGTGGGGGAGCCAACACTGCAAAACAGTTTTTCACTTTTCTCGGCAGGGTCCCGGTCCCCATTAACCGCGATAAGTGTGGGAACACTGCCCATGAAAATTTCAACATTCTACCTTCATAGACAAGGACTGTATCAATGTTCTGAACATAATGTGTGTAGCGCCCTCAGGATGCGGCATGAATGACGACACGAAGTCCACGATAAAAATACAGGGTTTATTCCTGGCAACCCGTGAGAACTGGTCCCACGAACATGAAACATACAAACAAGTGGCATGACGTACCAAATAAAGAAAACTACGAAGACAATTGATTTAACATAAATACACACAAACCTCGTGGGCTCACACCCATAAGGGGCTAAACTTCGGCCGAAATCCTGCCCGTCGTCGACTTGCCTCATACGGTAGGTTCTCGGCACTCTCGTCTTCTTACAAAATGGCTACATTGAGCTTGCAAACATGTTCTTTTAACGTGCGCCAGTAACGTGTAACGGCAACTAGGGTCGGGTGGACCTTTATCCGCGATAAATGTTTCCGGCCAACAATCGCCACTAGATGGCATCAGAACACCAATAACGAAACTGCTTAATGGAACATATTGGCAGTAACA